CCCCAAAACCCCAAAACCCCATTAATTCAAAATTTATAAAATCAAGAAAGATAAAATTCTTAAGAAATTAATGTGCTTCTCATAAATAATAATAATATGCTAGTTATCAAATTCATTTCATAATTAGTTTGGTTAAATTTTGAAAACAAATTTTCTTTTTCCTTCAAATCGTTTTAGAAGAAGTCGAGTAATATATCATTCACTACACTCCGTTTCTAATATGATCAAGGTTTTTTGGAGTATTCTTTTTAATTCTGATTTCTGGATCTTGAACATCATGAAGAGGAGTTCCTTCCTAAACTGTGTTATGATTTTGCATGATATTGCTTTGATTGGTATCAACATATTGTTCATCCTCGTTTTAAGTATCATTATTTTCTATCTATAAGCTTACTTCATTATCATCGTTGATCTTATTCATCTTTTAATTATTAACTATGCCATATAGATTCTCAATGTCAACCTTTGGATGATACTGAGATTCTAAGTGTATCATATCTTGTTGAGAAGCAGCGTTACCATGAGTTTAATCACTACTGCTATTCTGGATATACTCATTAGTCCTCTCAACAACCTTTAGATCTTGCTTAGCCTTTATTCTGCGATAAATAAAGTATGAGGCTATTCCACCAATGATTATAACTCCAATTATCACGCCAATTATGATGATTAACTTTGTCTAGTCTGCTTGATTCGATGATGATTCCTCAATTATAATAATCTTAGTGCCGTTTTGATAAGTGCCTTGGCTAATATTTGGAGTTGAGTTATTCCCCGTGTTTTAATTATTGTTGTTGTTATTATTGTTATTTGTTTAATCATTGATAATTTATATTGTATTAATAGTCGAGCTTAGAATTGGTGCTCCAAGGTTAATTAGTTTATTCTTAATAAGATTTTGTAGCTTAGTCTATACAGCTGTTAAACCTCCCAATATTTGAGTATTTGGTTCATAATTATTAGCTATTAAGAAATCGATGATAACGGAACCTCTATAGACACTAACAATTTTTACGTTAGAGGCATGAATTCCAAGAGATGCAGTTAGTCTGTCAATAAATTTTGTTGTTCCACCGTCAGCGAAGAATTACTCTAAGGTCCAGTCAAGTCTGACGTTTACTCTAATAGAATCAAGAGGTTTTATGTATAGTGTGCATCCTGCTGTGATATAGAATTCTAAGATGTTAACTACTCCTTCATATCTGTTTTCACCACACTTAGTTCTCTTAACAAGAGCCTGTTTTCCTAGGGTGTCATCCCATTTATTTGCACCAATTTGATTCTTATTACTGTCTAGGATTGCGTAAGCACCTGGCTTGGTGTAATCTATTCTTAGGACAACTCCTGAATAGTCTGCCTTAAGGACAATCTTTTGTTCTTGAGGTGGTGTTCCTGAGTAAGCTATTTCATATTTTTGATTTGATCCAACTTAAATAATTGAAGGCCATCTACCCATTCTTAATTAACCAGTGTAGAATCCATCCCAAATATGATCCATGAAGGTGTTCACTTTGTTAGTAGAGTTAAAGGTCATACTCTTAAGATAAATAGGCGAGACCATTCTTCTCCATTTATCTTCATCCAAAGATTCGAATAGAAGCACTCCAAGATTATCATTTGTGCATCTATAAGCATTCCATGCTGACACTAGCTTACAGCTGTCATAGTTCTAAACTGCATTTGGGTTATTAGCAACTAATTAAAATGACTTCTCCTAGATAGTTGGCCTCATTGTGCCTGCATAAACTGTATTATCGAATTGTAGAAGAGCATTTGAAGGGGCAGTGCAAGGCCAGTCACCACAATCATCAAGGTTAGCCCAACCCAATGGAGGAGAAAAGAGATATGCTAATGTATCTTAATGTACGTTTTCGAATCTAGTATTTGTGAATTTAGCTCTTGGATGATAATCTGCACCATTTTTATTCAAGCCTATCAGCATTTGTTTTTTTCCACAGTAAGTCTTAGTGCCTTTATAGTCATAGAATCTCAAGTTATCATAGGTTGACTATCCTCCCCATGATGCATCTGACTTTACTTTATGAATTGGAAGAGCGGATGCTGATTTAGGGAAAGGTGTCTTTCCGCTTAAACTGAAATATGATAATACTAAGCCTGCTCTATCTACGCATTCATCTGCAATAGCACCAGTTGAGGATATGGAAGCTGGTAAATTACAATAGTTTTCAACATTGCAGTCCTTTGAATCACCCTCTCCAAAAATTGAAATATTCTTTAGCTTTGCTTCAAGCTAATCACCTTCTTTGCCCACCATTACACTTGGCCCTATTCCGTTATCAACAAATACCATGTTTGAATAGATGACAGTATTGTACTTGAAATAGGAAATAGCCCCATCAAGTTAAACTTTATAGCTATAGAAGTATGATCCTTCCATGCAATTATTTTGTTCTGAATCTGAAGTATCTGGGAATATAATAGCACCTGTGCCTTTGACTGAATGAGCGATGTTATGTTTAAATTTAGAATTAGCATAGTCACCACATCGATGGCCGAATGTAGCATAACCTGTGTTAAATACTCCTGCAACAATATTGTTTACTACTGTAATGTCACTACATACATCTCCCTCAATATATGCGCATGCAGACAAGCCAGCACATATATCTACAGCCATGTCAAGTGAGACTACAGCCCTAATAGCAACATTAGCCACAATATTGCCATCAATAGTTATATTATTGCAACTATTAATGTTGAGTCCCATTTTGACGAATCCAAATACAATGTTTTTCTTGAATAGTACATTAGCAGCTGCTTGGAATGCAACTCCCCAGCCATAACCATGATATATAGCACTATTAGTTATTTCACTGTAGCCTTATAGACTCATTTCAAATCTCATTGCTGCTTTCTCTGTATCGTACTATGAGCAATTGTATATTTCAACATTATCCATAATTGTTGAACCTGCTCTTTAAACATCATTTTCTTCTACGAAATCACTTGTGACTACTTAGCCTCCCCAGCTCTCAGTATCATCACCAACTATTTTTACGTTACTAGAAAGTAATACCACTTCTCCTCTAACATCTAAAATGCCATCATACTTAGGCGCAGTTGAGGTTGAAGCACCGAAATGAGAATAACTTAAAGCCCTATCAAGCTATACTTAGCCTGAGCTTATGTCATAGGATACTATAATAGCATAATCAGAAGATAAAGAGTTCATTCCAGTTGGTGCTAGGCCTATTCTATCACCTGCTTGCCAATCTAATTCTGAAGGCACATAAATGCTAGTATCTCCTTTCTTTGCACTTTAAAGTAGTCTAGTCAATCTGGCTGGCCTAGGTTTACCATACATTTAGATTATGTTGGTGTTTGCAAGGATTTTATTTCCTGCTTCGATTTCATTATCATAGACGATATGTTGGTTTACCTTTTCTCCATAGAGTGTGATCTTAGCGTTATTTACGAAAGGCTCCTCTTTAGATCCAATTATTAGTTCTCCAGCTCTTACAAATATGTACTTTGATCTAAGGTGAAGATCTTTCACATTGTTTTCAAAAGTCAATCTTCCATTAATTTAGAGCATAGATAGAATGGGACTTTCAGCAATATCAAAGAGCATGTTCCATCCAGATTTTACCACGACGGTATCATTATTCACAGGTACTTTACCTGTATCCCACGAGTTTGGATCAGACCATCTTCTTACAGTATCCTCTATAGGCTTATCTTCAATTGCTCCTAAACAAGATCCATCACATCTGTGTCCAATTAACTTGATACTTTTCTTAGTTGAATTAACTCCATTTACAAACAAATGGATCTGTCTTACTGCTGTATCGTTATATATCACATTATCACCAGTCTGCCATAGGGCATTTGATTTGCTTGTTAGAGTTTAATTCAGGATATAATCTCCTCCAGTTATCACATCTACTTTAGCTCTCACATCAGTAAAGTTGAATATGAAATAGACTCCTTTATCAGTAGACAGCCATCTACTTGATAGATCTATTTGCATTTGCTCAAAATCAAGTCCATATCTCCAGTGAATTTTATACTTGTGGCCAGTTACGTATGGCACAGCCCATCCATTTGCGGGGTCAAGTTTTGGCTTAAATGGAACAAATCCATATGCTGAGTTATTTAGAAGATAGTCTCCTAATTCTGTTTCATTCTTTGATAGTATTAGACTGTCATCGTACTTCAGTACTTTCATTTCCATTATTTCAAAGATTCTGGATGGAACAGCATTCCACAAGGCTAGTCTTCTAACTTAAACTGTGCTGTCACACAAAATTCCATCATACACTGACATATCTAATTTGCATTCAGGCTGCATATTATGCTCAAAGTATGGTGTTGCCCAGGTCTTAGGCCCTAAGTTTGTCAAAGTTCCATCCAAGTCGTAGAATATATCTCTGAATGGGAACTAATATCTGATCTTGTTTTTCACAGTCTGGTCAAACTTTAATTTTGAAAATGTAATAGTCCTTGCACCTGAATCTGTAGAAGCTGGATGGAAACAATGAGAGCATGATCCTAGAGCAGCTTAATTATTCAAGTCAAAATTGTAGAAGGAGACATTATGAACTTGGAAGTTTTCTGTCCTTGGGGTGATTATACCGTGCTAGTTTGAATCTAAGGTAATCTAGTCTGCATTACCAGAATGACCAATTACAAGAGCATTATTAATTTGAGCATAGCCATCAGCGACTGAACTAGTCAGTGAAAACTCTATACCAGCCAGCAGATTATCAGCTACTTTAAAGTTAATAAATCTAACATCTCCTACTTTCTCAGCAATGGCTCCATTCCTTTAATTCTTCCAGCTAGTTATGTTGATAAAATTAGCTGTAATTAGTGGATTTGAGGCATAAGGATCACTTGGATTTGAAGAATTGTAGAAAAGGCTCTAGCAGGGATTTAATCTTGGAATCAAATTATGGAATATTCTCACACCATACCTACCATTTGAATGAGCAACATTATTGCTAAACTCACCGAGCTAGGAATTCTCTGGGCAAACAGTAGTAGTAAAAGAGGGTCCAAGAGGATTTGGCTTAGTATCGAACCAATAACCATATCTATCAGAGCCAGCAGCATGGTTGCCTCTAAATATATTATCTGGATTAGTAATCCAAAAGCTAGCCGGTGTTTAATCTGTAATTAAGAGACTGAATGATGCTTTAGTCTTAATAGCTATATTCTTTTCAATGTAATTCTTTGTTTCAATTGCATCCTCAATGAAGAAAGTATGTCCCATTGTATTGTAAGCAACATTTTAAGTTACTCTTAGATAATGTACACCATGGAAAGTAACAGCTCTATTGTAGGTATTACTAATTGAGTTTCCTTTAATGTAAGAATTGTGGACTGTTCCGATCATGTGGAAATGTATTGGATATCTTCCAAGTTGGAAGGCTTGTCCGACGTCATTTAGCTATATGTATTCAATTCTTCCAATCACAGATTCATCTCCGTGTGAATGAAGCATGATATGTGCACCGAATTAGTTAGTCTTTGAAGTCTCAGGGTCACCTCTATATATAACATTTCTTGTTATAAGTGCTACTTCTGATCTCATTTCAATAAATTCATTGCCATAGGTTTCAATTGCTGCATAATGCTTGTAAAGAAGTGGTTGGTCAAGCTTGAGGACTGGCCTATCTGGAATTGTTCTGTCTATTGATAAAATTAATCTTTCTTCAGCCTCATCATTGTCATAGCCTGATGGTGCCACTACAATTTTTTCTCCAACTTACCAGTCTACACTTGTATGAAGAGTAATGTAATCCTAGCCAGCTAAGGCAGTAGTCTCGAGTTCAGTCCAAGTTGGATTTCTTGGAACACCATGTAAATCAAGTATTCCGTGTCTAACAGCAATGACCTTGTTACCATAAATAGGAATCTCTGGAGATTCCTTATTGCTGTGCATAGTAATTATCAATTTAGAAGTATAGGGGAATTCCTCAGTTCCTACTTCCATATATCCACCTCTTATCATAATGTAATGAGCATCAAATGTTCTAATGTGATTTGGATCAGAATTAGAGGGGAATATCAAAGAGCCTTCTACTACAACTGCTGCTAATAGAGGAGTTGAGTCAACATCAACTAGAAGGTTTAAGCCTGGAGGAATATATATAGTATCGCTCTCCATTGGAATAAATTCATCTCCCCAAGTTTAAGTATTTGACCATCTATTTACGTATCTAAAGATTAATCCTTATGTTGCTACATTCCCATAACCTTGGATATTAAATTCAATAGTTGGACTTGGATAAAGACCTGGTCTTTTTCCAGTTGTACATTAGATTTAAGTTGATGTTGCAGATGTGACGACACAAAGAACATTATCAAGTATAATTGATATCTTAGAAGTATCAGAAATGAAATTTGAGCCAGTAAAGGTAATAGTCTCACCACCTTGCACTTATCCCCATCTTGGATAAATTGAAGTTAAAAGTGGTGTCTTTGTAGATGTGTAAGTAATTTAGCCTCCAAGATTAATCGGGGTTCCCCCATTTAAGGTAAGTTATACTGGACATTAAGAATAGGAATTCTGATTATTGTCAATAACTTCAACTCCTCTAAAGCCAATTTCACCAATAACACATGCCTTAGCTCCTGTGCCATAGAATCTATAGTATCTGTATTTTAATTCTTTACCCTCTGGATAAGAGTGGTAGTTCCAACCTTCATGAATTTCATTTCCGACAGTGAAAATATTTGTATAAGTGACGCCATCCATAGATCCTTAGAAATTTAAAAGACCTATATAGTTGACACTGTTAAATCTATTCATGAAATACTTGACTTCAGATAAGAACCCGATATGACCAGCTGTAAAAGCAGTTCCAATGAAACAAGGATTCTTAGATGTATCTGTATATCCCAAGACATTATTCATGTCAAAAGCTTAACTAGTTAGAAGTTCATTATTGCTTGATGAGAAAAGAGTTCCTTTCAAATAATTTTCCTTTGCTATGTTGTAGTGATCAATAGAATAGGTTGTTGATAAAGCTGGTAAAGAAAATTAAGCCTTGGAATTAGTAGATGAGAGTGAAAGTTTAGCCTCTATTCCACATATTGTTAAGTTAGATGTAGATGATTTCATAGCAGATAATATACCTGTCTGCGAAATTGATACATCACATCCTCCTGCAAATGAGCATTCGAAATTTGAATCCAATTATGTAATTAAAACTGGATTTTATACTATAGCAGTTTTAGCAATCATAGCCCAATGAGAATCTTCTATTCTTTCAAACCATACAATGGGTATAAGAGAATTTTATGTAACTGGAACACCACTACTCCATGTGGCTGTGATTGTAGTATCTGAAATTATAACAACAGAAGTTGCTTCTACGTTAGCAAAAATAACCTTTCCAACATAATTAGATGTGAAAAAATCGGTACCAATGATATTTAGAGACAATAAGTCTTAGGATATTGCTACTGAGGTGACTGCAGGCATAGAATCAATGGTTTGATAATTACAATCTTTTACTCCAAGGCATTAATAAGTCTGAGAGTTAATTTTAGCAGTCAAGGCTACTACATTCACAGTTTGGGCCTTAGTCCAGCATTTCAGGACTCCATATGAAGTAATTTTTACTTAATTGCAAATTTCCTAGCCATTTGGTAAAGTAAGTGTAGCCTTTGAATTAACTCCTATTCCTCTGATATTCGCTGTGATAAGAGATCCAGCTGGAGAACCAACTTTTGGATTTACAGATAAGAATGTAGGATTTAGAGATAAACCGCTTCCAAAAGCACTATAAAATCCTTCAGGAGTACCAATAGGGAAATAGAGTTCGATATTACTGGATGTAGAATCATTCATTCCTGATATCCTTACTCTTATTTCTTCTGCTGAGGAGGATAAGATTTATTACTGAATTCCATCTATTTTAAATATGACATCTGAGGTAGAAGTTGGGAGTCTAATTCCAGATATAACTAATTCGTAATCATTTAGAACTTCATTGTAAATCATAATATTAGAAAAGGCAGTTGGAAGATCTGTCTTGATCCATTAGAACTCACATTTTCCATCAGAAGTCTAGCATTTAGCTTCTTCTGAAGTTTTGAGGAAAACTAAAAATGCCTCTTTTGTATCATCAATGTTGTCTGCATCTTCTCTCTTAGGATTCAACCTGCAAGTAATCTATGTCGGAGATGAAGTTTAGACTATACAGTCAGTTTTTCCAATTCTGATTGGATTATCAAGCCCATCATCTGAGAACACACTACCAGTCACTGTAATTAAACTACCTCCATATATAGAACCACTCTTAGGTGAAAAGTCAGTGATTATACCATAAGCATCAACAAATATATTATCTGAGTTAAATTTACCCATAGCTAGTGATCTTACTTCAACATGATATCTAGCTGAGTATGCTCCACCATACCTGACAGTGATGGTTTTGAGGGTATTGTCTACAGTAATAACATTAAGCTTTCTGATATTTGATGAATTAGTGACATCTACTATTTGAACTCTTAAGTCATTTGCATTTAAGGTTCCAATAAAAGTATTACTAACTTAAATTGTGAGATTTGCCTTTAAAACTGGTGAAGTTCTCATTGGACTAACAGCAGTTATGAATGCAGGTGCTGTAGTTACAGTCAAACTAAGACTATTATCAGTCTTACCATTTACAACCACTTAGCCTGTTACAGAAATGCTGGAGCCTGTAAACTTGTCTGTTAAGCACTTGATTTAAGTTGAGGTAGATGAAAGAACCCTGCACTTAGTTCCATCTGATAAGGTAATATCAATGGTGCTTCCGTCTTTTAAATTGGGGGGAAAGTTGGTGCCAGTAATAGTTAGTATGTTTTCACCCTCTGGATTAATCATTGTCTATGGATTAACACTGTCTACTCTCAGATCAACTGAATGAGAGGATTGAGTAGGATCTCCTGGTATAATACCTTTTGAATCGATAACTACTGGTTTCCAATCACCGCTTACTACAGCAGCTAAATCACAAACAATCTAAGTGTCAGTGATTGTTTTAGTTATACAATCTTGTAGTCCAAATGAAACAGTTTTAACAGAGTTAGTTGTCAATCCTGTTCCAGTAATAGTAAGAGTTTATCCTTGAAGACTGAAGGATGTAATCAATGGTGTTGGTTAAATGTAAGCATAAGTACAATCTAAAGTATTTGTATTACAAACAGCTGGTAATCCATCAACTGTCAACCTAATTGAAGGCTTAGTTTCTTGATAGCTAAGGAACTCAAAAGGAATGGGTTCATAGAAGAGATTAGTTGAATAAGGTCTAGTAGTAGTGGATTTAATGGTAATGCTGTTTCCCTCTAAGGGGACTTCAGGGTCTGAGATTAGTTCAAATTGAGGAGGATCGCCAATGTAGCTTGTAAATCTTATATTAATATCTCTACCATCAGAATAGAAATCGCTATTGAAATCTCCATCCCAGATCTCGATCTTATCTCTGTAGTTAGGACAAGCAGTAATAATTTGGGCATAAATTTGACTTGGCCTGAATGAAACAGGAATCTAATTAGTCTCATTAATTCTACCTGTCTGTAAATTGCATCTAATTCTAAAACTTCCTTTTAAAGGAGCATTGGAAAGTTAAAGACTAGTTGGGTATCTAATAGTTCCCTTAGACTACTTAAATGATAGATATCTTGTTGATGGAGTTGAAATAGCTTTAAGAGTAGTAATGTTAAGTTATCTTTTTACTGCTAAAGAGATATCATTTACGACATTATCATTAGCGTCAAAATCTGTGATTACAACTGAAACGGGAGCATTAAATATTTAATTGTAATAGACTGATAATGCACTAGCGATTTGATTAGCTGTCCCTTTTATGGGAATGTCACCAGTTGGAATTAATTTATTCTTATAAGGCTCTAGATAATTGAATATTGCTATGGAATCAGTCAACTGCGTAAGGTTAACTTAGATAACATCTCTGATATTAACTGGTAGGATTTAAAGCCTCTATATCTCTCTGATACTATGCTGATGATTCTATATTGAATTCGCATCAGTCTCAAAAGATACAGTGAAATGATCACCTCCTCCATATTATAAGTGCTATCCTTCAAGATAGTAGTATTCTCCAGCTTTCAAATTTAGCCAAGCAGAAACTTTATAATTTCTATAATAAGTGACTTATGGTAAACTAATTATAGTCTATGATTATGATGGATCTTTGTTCACACTGCTCAAATTTAGGAAGCAATTATCGTCACAGGATAAGTAAAATCTGTAGTTACCGGTAGCAGGAGGCTTAAAATATCCCTTAATTATGTTAGCACTATTTCCATCTCTTTAGCCTAGTGGAGTCTCAAACTCTGTTGCTGGAAGCACCATATAAGGAGTAGTTGATTAGAGAAGATTGTAATTCAATGGTGTAGTAGTGTTATAATACTATCTTTTAAGACCAGGAGATCCACTGTATTGAGCATCAGTAGATGGGTTTTAATTTTAGCCAGTTATGCAGTATACCTCATCTACAGTATTATTTATTACCTTGCATCCAACACCATCAATAGAAATGTCGATATTTTTTGACTCAAATCCATATCCACTTAGTTTTAGAGTTTGACCACCAGTCACATATCCTTCAAGAGCGCTTAAAGTATTGATAACTGGTACAACTTTCGCCTTATAGCAATTTGTGTTGTCAATATCACATTTATAAATGAGTCCCTCATCTTATTGGCAATTACCAGCCTTGAATTTAAAATTAACATCAGCAGAGGCTATGGGCTTATTTTACTTGGCAATACCTCTAACTTAGTTCTTCGTGTAGGCAGAAAGCACTACACTTTCATCAATCCACTCAAAGTAGACTGATCTACCATCGATTTTGGCTTCAGAGTAGAATAACTCATTACTTGTTTTGTAGTTCTATGCTGATCTAGGGTCTACAAAGAACGCTACACTTGCTCCATCATAGATGACTCTAGGGCTCAAATAATACAAGAAAGGTGTGAAGGCTCTACTCATCGTAACTCTACATGCTGATAGGCCTGTTGATGAGCATAGATAATATTTATCAAGAGCATTGTCAGCTGTAGTATCCATCAGACCTAAATCGAAAGTGAGACTTTCATAAGGCTAGAGAGAATTAAATGAAACACCGAATATATCATTTGGTGATGGAAGAGTGTATTGTAATTTGCCAGACACAGTCTGAGAACTGAAAGCGTCACCTTCTATAATTTATAATATTTAGAGATAGGATCCAAATTAATAGGATATTTACTAATATTTCCTCAAGAAACTTACAAGATTTGTATTTAAGAGAGGATTAGAAATCAAATCTAGAGTTATTTACCAAAATTTGTAAACTTTAAGGGGCTTCGGGCATTGAGCTTCCCCAAAACATGGTTTCAACTCCTCCAGCGAAAGAAGCTCCATTGACACCAGAGAAATCTGTTCATTCAGGCAATCCGATTCCACTTAATGATGATGCTCTAACTTAGCTTGAGCCTATTTCGAGTTATTCATATATGATTACATTAAAAGACTAAGAATGAGGCCAGGATTAGTGGACTCAAAGATTTTAGAGTCTTAATGTATGAATTTGAATCTTTCATGAAATATTAGCTTGCGCTAGAGTGATTATTTCTCTTTCGCATTTTTATAATCTAAATCTTTAATAATTAATCAATCAAGTCATCGATCACTTAAATAATCATCTTAACCACGCTTTAACTACAAATATTAATATTTATTTTCCTTTAATTTAGTTTACTCTGGCTCTTACTTTATTCTCAGGATTTTCGACTCTCGGGGTTTTGGGGTTTTGGGGTTTTGGGG